TTTGATACACAAGCTGTGATGTTAGTGTCTGTCTACCTTGTTAAGTGGACATGACCTACAGGTCATTAGCAAAATAAAGACTAGAGCACCTATACACCTATTTATCCCTTTGTTTCATGGAGTTTACGAGTGACCTCCACACTTAGAATGTTAAACTGAATCATGGTTGAATAACTGCATTTCTTATACCTCCAGATTTACAAAAATACAAACATAAAACCAGAAACAGACAAACACAACAAAATTAACATACAATGAGCTCAAGATCACCATGGTTCCTGCCTTTCAAGTTCTATTATTGCTGTTTTGTTCACTATCAGCAATCACAGTTCTGGACTCCACATGAAGCCAGTTGAAAGGAGTTCAGAGTATTTGCCTCTGGAAGAAGTATGCTGCAGTTGTAGAAATTTCCTTGAAGAAAATTCCATCTTTATTTCCACTGTATAACTAATCAAAATACTTTACTTTCACAAAAGAAATTTTAAAATGCTTCATAAATATGCCATAATAAATTTAACAATTATAGCTATTGGATACTAGAAGAATTAATATGACTTTTCATTTACACTCCATAAGTGAGCTCAAATTTTCCTTAGGTTACCTGGTTGTAAGTAGGCTTTTGCATCTCATTCCGGATTTTCTGTGATCTAGATGAGGAACTAAAGATCTCATGTTATTTATGCCTTTGCCAACTCTGGTTTTATTTATTTTCTGTCATGAACAGGTCTACAAGTACATTGGGCTTCTCCCAAAAACTCAGTAGCCCTTTCATAAAATAGTGATTTACTTTTTGGAATGGCTGATTGCCACATCTTCACTGATGTGTATGAACGGCTTCAAACTTATAAATTTTCTTTTGATGCCTCTAATTTCTTATTAACAACAGGCAGAAGTCATTTCACACACCACTTAAGCCTTCCCTCATAGCAATATGCCTACTAGATACATGACTGAGGTACAGTTTGAACTAGGAATAAATCCCAAACATGCTCCATCTTCTTTCACAATGGGAATATAACTCTTAGAATTAAAGTTCGAGTCATTGGCTTGCTCCTGACCTAAAACACCTACAAAAAACTACATTTCTTCTTTATCCCAAAGGCAAACTAAGATAAAGGATTCAAAATTATGTATGTCATACACAGGACATCCGTCTAAGCACAAGCAGAGATTCACCAGTGTCCCTCAAACAGAATTAAAAATTGTATAGGGATTTTCCAGTGAGAAAATGCTCTTGTACAAAACAAAGTAATCTGCTTGCTAGTTTGGGTACATTAATTATCACAAAATACAGGAAACAATGAGAAAATGTAATTTTTAACTATAAGATGGATCAATGTTTTTGGAGAAAGGCTACAAGTATTAGATCATATTGTCAGGTGTATACTACTCAAGGAAATACAATATTCCCACAGTCCCAAAATTTATTGTAAATTTACATATGACAGTTTATTTTCTATGAGTGTTCCTCTTGCAAGCTGCAAAAGGTGTTAACCATATCCACAGATATTTATTTTGACAAATTAATCCAGAAAATTATTTAATCTGCCAATTTTATCATAATTTTAGTAAGATACTGACCATTTAAAAAAAAAGAACAAATGAAAGATTATTTTACTACAAAATACTCTGTTTTTTCAATGTCAAAATATTTTTGGAAATAGTGTTCATATTTATAAATTATTAGGAACTGTAACTAATCAGAAGGGCCAAAAGTGCTTGTATTTCATTGAGGCGTGTATGCATGAGATATTAAAAATACTTTTTTTTGAGAACTGTGTATATTTAACAAAAAAATCATAAAAAGTATGCTTCAAATTTATAAGTACATGGTTCACAAGAACTCTGCAGTACACTGTCTTTGAAATTAGGAGTTCTTGGCATCCAAAACTTGGCATTCCCAAATAGGTATTGTATACATTATATATTATGCAGCTCCTAGCAAAACGGGTCCTTGATGCAGCCATTTGAGGTCTCTGGCAGTCCGAAGACATGCAGTTAAGTACAAATCACTGGAGAGAAGCTGCTCTTCCTTTACTAGATGCAGTCAGACTCAATTTTACTACCTCTGCCATGGAAGGACAATAGAAGGACCCACAAGATGCCAAGACTTAGGTTCATTGTCTTCTGTTGAAGAATAAATTTTCAGATCAGTTGTCTATGCTTTAGGCTGGTTTTACTGTAAGCTTAGCAGGTATTTTTAATCCATTTTCTTCCACAATTCTCTAACACATGATTTTCAGGGTAGCTTATGATATTCTAGAATTGCAATTTACAACACCGAGTTCAGAACTCATGATGTCATGATTCAATGATAGCAAAACTGCCCTCTGACCAAATGACTTGAATAATATTATTTAAATTTCTGTGCTAACATATAACACTACTAAACTTTCATTCTGCTTTCCTTTAAATGGAGTTTGAATATTTCTAAGTTTGCTGTAAGTTACCACAGTAATTTTTAATGTTTTCTGACATCATTACTTTTTAAGTAAGGGCAAACTTTGAAAAAGAATATCTGTATAAAGATGAATTTATTAGTTTGCTTACTATCAGTGTCAGAGGAAGAAGGGAGAAAGGGATAAAATTTTACAAGTGATTTCATAGGGAGAGAAGATAATATATTTTCTGCTCCAGGCGGAAATATTTTTATAAAATTAACAAGTGAAAGCCTTACAGGTCACTACCAATGTTTAGAACTTTAATCAGTGATTTTTGCAGGTTTTTTGCAAACTACCCATTTCCTAGATCTTACACTCCTTATTTCAAAAGCACAGGAACTGACACATAAATAATATCAGCAATCCATGCAGGGCAATTTTAATATACTGATACTTGCTCAAGTGCATGATCCATGTATTTTTCCACCAGAAATCATTGGTTCCATTAAAATATCTCTATCTGTGATTCTCTATGAAGTGAAAATAAGAGCCAAAGCATGATTTAAAAGGTTTTAAAAAAAGGGTGAACAGAAACAGTCTCTTCACTTCTTAAAAATAAGTAACTTAATCTTCTTTAATCCTAAAAATATACCATTAGAGATATACATCTTTATTACTCCTAGAATTAGTGAGTTATAGTGTGGCAACATTTGCCTGGCCTAGCACTCCGTTAAGGCATTTTTCCTGCGCAAGACCCAGACACTCATACATACATTGTTTAACTGACTTAACACATTCATGTGCATTAAAATCCTTTTCCAAATGACAAAACCAAAAACATTCTTTAACAGAGTTAGTAAACACGTAATATTTCCTAAATAGATTGAATGAAATGCAATGAACTAGCACCTAAGTAATACATTATCTGTTCTGATATTAGACCACTGTTTCACAACTCAATCACCAAAAGAACTCTTTCAAGCTCAAACTCAACAATGCTTATGAAGAACAGCAAATTCTTCAAAGGCTTAGGACTAATTAATAGTATGAATGACTGTGACAGAGGCAGATAAAATACCAATGACTACAGTTAATAGGATCAAACATTGCATGATGAATAGTTCCTTTTTGTATGGATGCTACCTGAAAAGTGGACAAATATTTAAACATGAATAGAATGTATATGTTTCATATATTTATGAGAAGTTTTAGAAAATATAGAAAATAATGAAACTGTGCCAGCAATAGTATTTCACATCAATTTTCCAGGAATATAAACGAACCATATCATGCTCAATTGTAGTATGGATTGCTAAGATTGTTAATCATATTTAACACTGGAGCTCTATATACTATTAAATGGAAATTTATATTGAAATCAATAGCAAAGATCCCATTGATTTAATAGACCGAAGATCTAACTATTGGCAACAACACAAATTAATTTATGGTTTATACTGATAACAATTACTTTTAATAGAGCACAAGGGGTAAACACTACCAGTTTAATCATGATCCCTGTTAAAAGAAAAAAAATTTTGTCAGCATATTCCTGAATGAGATCAGAATATGGACTACATAGTTTGGAAAATTTCTTTCTCCAAATCTAGACATGGTCTGGGGTCACAATTTTGTCCTGGGAAATGTCATACATAATGAGGAAATTCCCACAAGCATATCTATTCAAAGCAGCCAAAGCAATAATAATATGAAAGTCTCCTACTGGTACATCAGTGGGAAAACATTTACTTTCAATAACATTATCCATTTGCTTTGTTCCATTCTCATGTTCTGCACATTTCAGCAAAAGAAGTTCTCAATTGATAGTTGTTTTGAACTTTTCTGTTCTTGAAACACTAATAGAGTGTTTATTGGGATTTTGGAGAAGCTGTTCATAATGCTACACATAGTTGGAAGCTGACCTGCATTTGCATCTGTGACCCAAGAGCACAGAACATGGGGGCAAGGGTGGAAGGGGAAAGAAAACATTTCCAGGAATGATAATTCTGAAAGATATGAGATGAAATACTGAGTTCTTTGGGTAGCCTTCTTTTAGGCAAGGACTTCTTGCAGTTGCTGGTTTTCTGGATGTTGGGGGTAAAATATGCCACTATCCACAAAATATATATATATATAAAAGCTATGAGCTTTTTTTTACAGGAAGAAAATTCCCTAGTACCATAAAAAGGGATCTCTTCATTCCATAGAGATCAGGACCTCACAGGAGGCTAGAATTAAGGCAAAGACAGGCCTTTGTACACAGAGAGTGGCTCTATGTTTTCCCACTTCTAAATTATAATGACTCATTTTAAACAAAGCCCTGCACCTGTAATTTCTTATCGGAGTGGGGGCTTCTGCTTGAACTAGCAAGACTTTCAGTAATGAGATCTGCTTGCTAGGAAAAGGGCTCCAGAAAGTTTTATGTATTCAACATATATATGTATTTTCACACACTCTCACACACATGTACTTATACACACACAAATATGCATACACACAAATTCATAAATAGATGTCTATATATGTACATATGCAAATGGACAATATTGAAAATCATGTTAGACTTGGAGTATTACCCGCTTGTCAGAACTATTTAAACTACTATCTACACAGTACATATTGAAACTCAACTTTAAGATTTTTTATTTTTATGTACAGTTCATTTTTTCCTCTGGAAATAAAATATCTAAATACAGACAGACTGTAATGTTGTATATGTATAGCTTTCAACAATACTTTAGCTGAATAAATGCTTTGTACATAGTTCTGTCTTTTAATGGAGTTTACAGCTACATTGATAAAATGGATTCCTCATTTCCTTGATTGTTTTAAACAATAACAAGCAGAGAGACAATTACAAGTTAATATTAATAAGCAGCTCAAATAACACTGGTTAAATTATGTACAATACAAACCATTCATACAAATGAAGACTAGGATATTGAATTTGTTACAATATTTTGTAATAAAGATAAGACAGCCACTTATAACTTACATGTTCTCCGCCAGGCATTTTCCTTCTTAGAGATCAATTCCAGTTTTTAAGTAGTTTAGCTGGCCTAAACTCAAACAAGTTTAAAGAATCAGAGCTTAAAGAGTCAGAGAAACATTAAACCAGAATGTCTGCTCACATGTAAATTCCAAATGTTTGCCCATCTTTACTAGAAATGGGCTTGCTCCATGGAAAAAGAGCCACCAACACCACCTTGAATGTGCCTACTGTGTGCTGGGAAAAGTCACGACGCTTTGCTGTGTTCATATAACACGAAATACTGAACTCTAAACACACTTTTTCCCATTTTAACAAGTACTTATTCCTACAGTATTATTTACCAGTACAGCTGCTCCAAGCAGTAGAATGCATGAGTGGGGATTATTGATTGGCATGTACTCAGAGGACTTTCAAGGAGATTTCCATAAGTCTGCCTTAGAAACCTTGTACTGTCTAGTTAATCCATTTTGCTTGATGATAGGTTATGCTGAATCCTCAGATATCAGACAATGAAAGATTTCTTAACAGGAATCTCAATAACGTGAGCTGAAAAGTGTGTGTGTGTGTCTCTGTGTATGTGAATGGTTTTATTTCAAATCCATAGTGATTTACACCTAGATGGATACATGGAGCTGACTGGGCAAAAATTACATTAGATTGTTTTCCACTAACATATTTGCAGCCATTTGACATCAGCAGCAGGTAGACACATTCCAGGCAATAGATGTGGCCTTCCTCCTTGAGGTTACAGCCCTGTTATTCGACCTCTTTTATTCCCCAGGCTTCAGTCTCAGACACAAGTTGGTCCTCACCCTGAAGGGAAGTAGGGTGTGTCACTGTGGTAGTTGTAATCAGGACACACCTTCTGTACTAGTTTATAATCTGTACTATAAAAGGAAATGTAAATACAGATTACTTTAAAGGGCTTGGAGCAGAGCCATGACACGTGGCTCTGGGTCTGCTCCTGATAACAGGTTTTTGAAGGGTCATAGTTGCAGAGTGTATTCTTGGTAGCCTTGTCAACCTTTTCATACTCGATTCGACAGTTAAAGGACTTGGAATCTTTGGCATCAATCACTGTCTGTTGTGCCAAGTCAAATTCCACTATTTTTGTAGGGGGCACTAGGCTCACAGATACATTTCCTTGACCAGTGGAGTTATGCCTGAAGTAAACACTAAACGTCCCATTGCCATGGTCAACGATTTTCCCTGTTATTAACAGATTTAGCTTCACAGTCTTGATGTTGGAATGAAAATCTCCCCAGCCAAACATTTTCTTAAATTTCCCAGTCTTGACGATGGGCCGTCTCTTTGCTCTGGGCCGAGGCTCTTGCAGATCTGTGGAGTTCCTCAGCCAGTCCCAGAGATCTTGCTCAGAATAAGTTTCTGGGGCATCGTATCGCAGGTCCAAATCTGTATCATTTTCCTTTCCACGAAAAGTCTGTGACAGCAGTCGGCTGATGGACAAGTCTTTGCTGCTTTCTGTCCATATGTGCTTTAGTGTGGATTTGGAGCTTCCTGATTTTAGAAGTTCTGTTTTTCCTCCATTCGTTAAATTTGCACAGGTAACCTGAAAGAGAAGGGAAGAAGAAAGAAACAATATATTGAGATATGTGATACAAACCCCATCATTTCTACCTGAGACCAAAATAACCAGATTTACCACAAACATAGAGAAATATTTTTTTGAGAAATTAAATTTTACCCTCTACTTAGTAAACCAAAAGAGAAATGTCTGTTTTCCTATACTTTCCAAGTATTATTACTCAATTCTCCTTTGCCAGTTTTTTTTTTTTAAATAAGCCTTCAGATTTAATCACAGACATTCACATTATTTGTCTGTTATGATGTCTGTAAGTGATGAGTGCATAACAAAAACTGAGTTACACAGTCTTGGCATACTTCAGGCTGTATGTGGCATCTCAGAGTGAAGTGTTCTTGCTTGAATGTTCACTCTACAAGGTTTCTGTGTCCTCTACCATCAGAGACACATTCATTTACTTTTGCTGCCCCTGGAGTCCACTGTCAGGGTGCTGTCTTGGTGGTGCCAGCCTGACCATGCTTGGAGTCCATGTCATTATGAATCTAATAATAATAATACAATTTCCTTACTCCTTTTATGAATACTCATTGGTCTATATTCTTGACTGGGATCTTCATCACAACTACAATATTAATAACAGAATAATGAAAATTTTAATGAGTTTTGAGTTGACAACTGTACATACAGTGTACTCCACGTCAGTTAATGCAGGAGGAGTCACAGCCTATTTTAACAATCCCTTATAGACCAACTACTGGTTTGCCTTGTCTGTATCTAATATGACAACCATTTCTCCTTTCTTGCTTCACTTCTTTTTTCACCATTTCCTCCCCAAATTAAATAGAGATCTGTGTAAGACAGAAAGCCTTTTGTATATTTACAAAAAAAAAAAAAAAAAAAAAAGAAAAAAGAAAGGAAAAATAGAGGCACCAATTTAAAAACAGTAATAAAAAAATCCTGCAAAATTACATTTTAAAAGAACAGAAAATCCTGCACCAAGTTCCTACAAAATCATATATTTCAGACATAGTTTTTCACAAAATTTACTGACAGAGAAATTTCTCTTATTTATATTTTTTTCTCTTTGCTTTAATTGAGTGGAAAACAGACAACAGATGCAGGCTTGCAGCTGTCTAACATGCAGCACTGGCAGAGAGCTCTGACAGAACATACCTGGGAGGACTGGAATTTGTGCAGGGTGGATGGAAAAGGACTGACAACATGTGTAGTCCTATTCCCCCTAAAATTTGCACCTCACACACTGCCTAATTTTTTTAGCATTTGCACTGCTCTGAAGAGGCCATCAAGTTTCTTATTTCCATTTTCATGGCTACATATGAGATTCCAAATATGCCTGTTTTATTCCTCTGTGTTCTGGCACTGATTTATGTGCTTCTATCATACTTGCAGTTATATCTTTCTCTTCACTTAAAAATGAATTGAGTGCATTTCATACCTAGGAAACCCATTGGAAACCAGAAAGTATTTAAATCATGTCCCCTCCCTACTGGTACAACTGGAGGTATATGTCACAGAGGATATCTATCACAGCATGGCCTTTTCATTTCTTAACAATCATGAAATTGAAACACACTTTCATTAACTTCAGTAGTTTTCCAAGGTCATTTGAAGGCACATAGATAAAATCAGTCTAAATTGTCTTAATACACTGATCACACAGGAGATATGCCCCCAGCTTTTTACAGCAGCTAAATAGGTAAATAAATCTGTCACATCCTACACTATTCCTGCCCAATCCATTTCATGTGGGGCCAGTAAGGATAATAGATAAAATATGGATTTAATTCAGGATTTTGCCAAAGAGAAAGCTTCCCCCCCTTGCAAATGGACAGAAGGATTAAAACACAGACTAGCATTTTGATAGCCAGTTCATAGCTGCATCTTAGCAATAACACAGTAGGCCAAGAGAGAAGCTGAAATAAAATGCACTGATGGTGCACTGGTTAATGAAGCAGCAATGAAGATGTCACAGGGAGAGAGAAAGAGACTCAGAATATTTTTTTTTCCTATGGCATATGAGGAAGGAGGGCAAAATAAGAAAAGAAATGTGGTTAAAAGGAAAAATGTGCCTGTGTAGAATGAATCTATCAACCCACAATGAATCAAAGCAGTTAGCTAGCAGAGCTAGTAAACCAGCTAGCTGTAGGTAGGATACAGATTGCTCACCACTCTCATTTTCTTTGCTTAGAGTTTGTTTTTCCTTTGTTTTCCTCTCTTCATCTAATGATTTACATTTCATAGAATTAGACTGAGGGTTCCATGTAACAATATATAAGAGTTTAAAAACCTTGAAAATAAGTCTCTCTTTTTTCCAGATATGTGAAACTGAAGACTCAGGAGAAGGAGGAAATTTTCTGAAATGATTGATGACTGATCCTATGCGTGGTTTTTTGAAAGCCAGCATATTTCATGGAAATGGATGATTTAGGCCATATGCATTCTATACTGCTTCACATCCAATCTAACAGATACAACTGATTGTTATTGTCATTGATTTTGTAATACCTGAAAGATTTCTGGCTGTGCAGTTAGTCCTGAGACCTCTGTTTGTGATTTTCAATGTGGGTAACTGGTTGCATTCGTGAGTAAAGGCCTGAACCTGTCTTTCCTAGTCAAGAGTCCATGTTAGCACTAAAAAACAGCCCACAAGCATTAATAAAAAAAGCTCTAGAATTCATTGTGCTTCACTAACATTTTCCATCCAATGCTTTTTCATATACTGCTAGTATACTACACACTATAGAAAGTATCCTCAGAGACTCACACACCCAATAACACAGAGCATTGCTGTGTAATAGAATTTCTGCAAATGCAGCAGTTCTTTCACATGAACTAATTCAGTTTTCTTCAATCTCTCTTTTTCCCAAACACAAGGTTGCAATAATACAAGAAAGACCATGCAAAAGCATGAGGTTTTGCACTTAGTATTGTGAAGCTTAAACATAGATCTATTTTAGGAGTTCATGGAAAAAGAGCCAATTTGAAGTGAGTAATAAAACATGGAGCAGCCTACATTCTACAGTGGTTTTCTTGCCCTCTTCCTTGAGGATACCTACATATAATTCAGAAACTTGCATACTTTATCAATTAGTACACGCTAACCAGTTTTGCCGCTTTTTCCATAGCCAAGTGTCACTCCTAGATGAAGCATTTGAAACCCAATTTTAATGGCCCTTTCTAGGATGGAATCCATTTTCTTCATAGAAGCTCATATGGTGCTGAGGTTGAGACTTTTGACCCAAATGCTGGTTACACACTTATGTTCTAGCTCTGGCTGAAGAGTACAGCGCCAAGGCCTCCTCTATTTCTCTCAGATTCTCAAGTGAATAGACTGGGGAGGTGCACAATGGATTGGGAACGGACACAGCTGAGCAGAGAACCTGAATTCACCAGAGATATTCCATAATATGTCGCATCATGCTCAGCAATTAAAAGAGTGGGGTGTCTAGAGGAGGTAGCCATCTTTTGTTCAGGAACTGGTTGGTCATCATTCTACCTACTGGAGTAGGTTGTGTGTTGGGTATTGCCTTTGCATCACTTGTTATGGTTTATTTTCTTCTTTTCTTTCTTCTTCTTCTATTTATCCTTCAGTTATTAAACTTTACTTTATCTTGACTCCCAAGTTTTCTCATTTTTATTGTTCTGTTCCTCTTCCCCGTCCCACTGGGGAAAGGGGGAAAGTGAACAAAGAACTGTGAGGTGCTTAGCTGCTCACCAGTGTTAACCCAAAACACCACTGCAGTGCAATAAATCAGTGCTGCAAAAGGGCTGAGTAGGGGGATTTCCTCCATGACTGCATAGCTAGAAGTGGTTCTGAATGATGATGATGGCAGAAATGTTTGTATAGAAAAAGAGTAAGGAGCAAAAAAATTTAGAAGTGCTTATCTAGTGCTACAACTTTCATTGGAAAAGCACTTATTAAGCATGGCAGACTGATATTTGGTTCTGCTCTTGTACGTTTATGGGAAAGTATGCATTTACAGTATCTAGTAAAGTCTACTGATACCAAAAAGGCACCAGGAGATTTTACTACTGCCTGGCAACTCTTCTCCAAAAAATACTGAAAATTTGTTATTCTATTTCTTCTACTTCTTCTTTGAAAAAGGAAAGACAGTGATTTCATTTGGCACAATTTCAGAAAGTATCATTAAAACACAGGAATTAATCTGTAAATAATTTTTAATGTATTAAAATAGAATACTCCATTCATTTTGTATCCTATGTTTTGAGGGTAATGAATTTCTTTAATGTTTAGCTTCATTAAGCATGTTTTAATTAATATAGTTCTTTAATTAAAATAGTTCTTTTAGGACTCCCTAAAGGATAGGCAGTTTATTTATCTCAGAAGTTTTAGAGTTTTCTTTCAAGACACTGAGCCATGAATTCTTTGCCAAGTTAAACCTTAACATTTGGAGCAGAGAAAATGAAGTTAAAAAGGAATTTCAGGAAACCATGAAGGCCTCAATTGATTATTTAAGTCCTCTTCTCAGTGTAAAATCAACCACAGGTATATTAACATTAATTAAAGACTGATCAGCTTAAGATTTTAAAAAATTTTAATTCAAAAATGTACAGAATGCATCTTGATTTCTCACTCTTTTCCTTTTATTCTAGCTCTACTACAGTTCATTACCTATAATTACAGTATTGGTTTAGAAATTATGCATTTATTTCTCAATATATGACTACTTCAGAGCATATGAAAATGCAAACAAACAACCTAATACTCAAGGTGGAAAATCTCTCTCTTCAGGTAAATAACTAATCAAAAACCAAGACTGTTTTTATTGGCATAGAACTGTAAGAATTTGGCAGCACTGTGTTTGCAAATGCTCTGTATAAAAGAATTCAGAATTTCCTTTTCTCAGTAAGCTATCTCAGATACAACAAAGGCAGGATAGTATTGATGGACACTACAATAAGCTGGGCCATTATCAAGGCAGGGCAGCACACAGAAAGTTGTCACTGAGTCCAGTGTCCTTATATTCATCCTGTTTATGCAATGG